TTCACACACACACCCCCTCACACTCATACAGTCACACACACACATATACCCCCTCCCACACACACCCTCACAAACATACATGCACATCCTCACACACGCACAGTCATACACAAACCCTAACATACACATACTCACCATCCACACGCACACACACACGGTATCTCAGTCCCCAGTGCACAAGATGGTGCCCATCCCCAGCAAAGGACCATCTAAGCTGATGGTTTGCACAAAGAAAGAATAGAAGGTGGTCTTGGCAAAAGGTAAAGATCAGGGAGGTGTGGCTCCCACGGCCAGAGGTCCCACCTTGTGGCCTACTCACTACTTGCTGACAAACATGGGGTCACTGTGTCCAAGGCTCACATTCAACAGTGACGCAGGCTGAGATGGTTGCGATGTCAATCGCTCAGTTAAAAGGGATAAATTGCTTCTTTTTACATGACAGGTGACTGGTGTTATTCATCTTGCTCTCAGTAAACCCATGAAAAGGAAAAGTCAACAACAAGGTGCACAGGGGGACCAGATGCAGGGGCCGCAGGGCCAGCATGAGGCGGGAAGGTTTTAGAGACGCCCCTGCATAAGCCACTCCAGGAGCTTCAGATAAACCCCTCTGGTCCTTTGCCAAGTGCATGTCCGTCTGCTGGGGCTTTCCCAGTTGCTGACTGGCACCAGGAAACTGGTCGTCCTCAAACTCTAGCCATACCCTAGAATATGAGACCTGAGGTGAACCTTCTAGCCAGATTCTGGGCCAAATTCTGCAGTTCACAGAGAAAACTGGGCTCCAGAAAAAGGAAAAGACTTGTCATCTTCAGTCCAAAGCCCAAAGTCCACAACCAGTTTGCGCAGAATACAGCCCAGAACCACCCTGGGGGATCCCTCTCTTCCCACCTCACCCACTCCTGCACTGCCTGCAAATTCCTCATCCTTCAAGCCTCAGCTGGGTGGTGCCTCCTCCAGGAAGCCTTCCCAGCCACCCTCCCCCTTCCAGCAGAGCCCGAGGCTCTCTCCTTTCAGATCCCGTGGGCCAGATGACCTCATTAGTGAACTGGAATTAGGACAGAATGCTCTGGCTCCATCTCCACGCAGTGGACATGAGCATCTCAAACAAAAGATGAACGTCTAGTCTACGACCTCAGTGCCTGGCGCTCTGGAGGGTACCGTCAATGTAAAGTGTAATTAAGTGCCCATCCTGGTCAGCAAGGCCACCGTCTGACCCTTTCAGTCTCTCTCTCTCTGATCTGTGTCTAAACAACTATCCCATTTATTCTCCAGATCACTCGGTTCAACACTTAACTGCTTTCTAAATGTGTTCCCAGCTGGACTGCAGGAGCTGCTGTTACCCATGGTGGGTCTCCCCACAGCAGGCCTGGCCCGGTGGTTCTCAGCTTGGCCTGCACATTGATACCACCTGGGGGCTCTAACCCCCCCCCAACCCAATGCCTAAGCCACACCCCCAGCCACCCCTCTGTGAATGGGACCACAGGCATCAGATTTTTAACCTCCCCAATTGGTTGCAGCATGCGGCCAAGGTCAAGAAACACACTCCGAGAAAAATGTAATTGCAGAAAACACTTGTTGATTCAGCCAGTACTGTGGGTGTGTGGATTTAATTGTGAATGACAGTGCAAGAGACACACAGTATAAGAGAAAGAGGTTGTTCAGCCTTGTAGACAGGGTTCTTCACCCTTAGCATTATTGTGTTTGGGGCCAGATCGTTTTTTCTGTTGTGGGAGCTGCCCTGTGCATTGTAAGATGGGATGTTTCGCAGCATCACTGGTCTTAACCCACTAGATGCTAACAGCAAACACGGCCACCTCTCCCTCCCAAGTTGTGACAGCCAAAACTGTCTGCAGACATTACCAAATGTCCCTGGGGATGGGGGAGCAAAATCACCCCTGAAAGAGAACCACCAGTGTAGACTAGCCAGCAAATCGTGTATTGCTTTTTTTTTTTTTCCCACATTTTAACTGTAGGTCACACGGGCACTTTTCCAAACTTGGCGGAGTGGCTGATGATTCTGGACACAGATCAGTGCCTTGGGGAGGGACACATAGGACTGGGCAGGAAATGGCTGGTGGGGTCAGCAGTAGGTTCTGAGGCAAGAGAGAATCACAGAGGCGAGGTCAGGTAGATTCAAGGCAGTTAAGATGGGTCGGTGGCAGTCAAGTCTATAAAAGATGAGCCAAACCAACAAAACCCCATAAGCCAGATACTCGGTAAAACTGCAAAGTCGGAGGCAAGCAGAGGGGTTGTCACAGATAAAGGCAGGTGATGACCAGGAGCCAGGAAGAGGGGATTGGCCAGAGAAGACCTCAGAAGTTCCGGGCAGGGGCAGGCCACACCAAGAGGCAGTTAGGAACAAAGTCTAGCACTGAGTGTAGCCTGCCCGGGAGGAGGAAGGAAGCTGGAGGCAAGAAACTGAGCTGTAACATCCATCCCTACCTGCTGCCTGAAGCCTAAGACACCACAGCCAGAGCTCAGAGGAGCCCGGGCGAGATGCTGGCAGAGGAAACACCTGCGACTCTGCTGTTGATTGGAGCCTGTCTCCTGCGCAACTGGAGGGGGCCTGCTGCTTCCCAGCTCCTTGAGCCAGCCTCTGCCAGCTCTGGGGCCCCCAAGGAATGGCCCCCCTAGACATCATACCAAAAACACAAAGAGCCAGTTGGAGCCCCCCAGGGACCCTAGACCCAGGCACCCTGCTCCCCATCAGCCTCACCCACCCCTGGCACCTTCCTTGTGCCCCATGCTGGTGACACCATGGGCTTGGTTCTCCCCAAATCTTCCCCATTCCTTCTCAGCCCTCGGGATGCTCCACCTCTGCCCACCTCTGAGCACTGGCATCCTCAGACTTCAATCCTGGGCCTCTTCTAGATGCTTCTCAAACCCTCTGTCAACAGCCTGAATCTGCACCCTTGACCCCTGATCTGAAACACCTTCTGATTGTCCTCCACCGAACACAGGACAAAGTCCAATGTACCTGAACCCTCTTGCTCCCCCAGTCCCCTTCCAACCTGCACTTAGAGATTCGAACCACCTCTGATTTCTTTT